GGGGGGGCAGTTAGGGGTGACCAGGCTGGCAGGGGGGCCAGTAGGGGCAATCAGGCAGGCAGGCAGGTGAGCAGTTAGGAGCCAGTGGTCCCAGATTGTGAGACGGATGTCTGACTGCCTCAGGATTGGGCCTAAACCAGCAGTCAGACATCCCCCAAGGAATCCCGGATTGGAGAGGGTGCAGGCTGGGCTGAGGGGACCCTCCCCCTGCCCCGTGCATGAATTTCATGCACTGGGCCTCTAATATTTCAATTAAATTTTATTTACAAAAATAGGCAGCAGGCCCCATTTAGCCAATGGGCAATAGTTTACCAACCTTTGATCTAGGGCAAGCATGTCAAACTTGCAGCCCAGACAATATAACGGTATGTAAGAAACATTTTAATAAAAATTTTGTCACTTAATTTTAACAATATCCTGTTATACATAATTATTAGTAATGATCTACAACGTTCTCTAATGACTAATTACAATAACTGTGTTGCATTCATTTTCCTTTAGCATCTTACACGCAGGCGCACCATTTCTCTCCACTAATACTAGCAGCGAATATTTTAGCAGCTGATTGCCACATCATTAATCTTAGACTGACTTGCTTGGTGTGCGCAACAGGAAATGTTTCACTTCCAGAGAACAAGAAAAATAGGTTTATTTGTGTTATCCTTATTAATTTGCGCAGTTATTCAGTGTCTGGTAAGTTAATGTTCAAGAAAAAAATGTTAATTTTTATTAAAATATTCTATTATTTTATGTTAATGATTACTCATTTATTTCAGTCCTTTGCATTCAGCATGTCTCTATCGAAATAAACCTATGTTTCTCTGAAAATTGAAGCTTTCTTTTTTTTGCGGCCCACATAAACTTAAACCTTGTTTATTTGGCCCGTAAACCTATGTTTCTATGAAAATTGAAGCTTTTGTTTTTTTTGCGGCCTACATAAACTTAAACCTTGTTTATTTGGCCCGTGTTGGCCTTTGAGTTTGACATGCTTGATCTAGGGACCAGCAAGGTCAGTACCACCTGGAAGTTTATTAGAAATGTAGCATCTCAGATCCCACCCCACATCTTCTGAATTGAGTTCATTCTAACAAGAGCCTTAGATGATTCCTTTGGACATTAAGGTTGGAGAAGCACTGGTCTCCCAGGGTGAGGCCACCACCACCCCTCCTCTGGGTTGCTATGATGGACTGACTGGTCTCCTTGAACTTCTACCTTTAGTTAACTTTGCCACTCTTTACCATTCTCCACAAAGCAGCCAAAGGGGTCTTCTTAAAATGCAAATTGGTTCACATCTCTTGCTTACCAAAAACCTTTCAGCAACCTCTGAACTAGGGTTATCAGACTTAACAAAAACAATGAAAAACAGGATACCAAGTTAAATTGGAATTTCAAATAAACAATGAAATACGTTTTAATATACATATGTCCCTTGTAATATTTAGAACATACTTACACTAAAAAGTTAGTTGTTCTTTATCTGAAATTCAAATTTGACTGGGTGTTCTGTATTTTACCTAGCAGCCCATGCCCAGTGCTTGAGGGTATAGTCTGAACTCCTTTTTACAGCTTGTAAAACCTGCATGATCTGGCCTTGTCTCCTTACCAGTATCATCAGACACCACCCTAACCTCCTCACAATGCTCTAACCACAGTGGCTAGGCTCCTTCCTGCCAAGATCTTGGACAAGTTGTGGCCTCCACCTGGAATC